GTGGATGACAGGGACTTTAACGAAGCTGGAGCTTTCTATATGAGTGGAGGAAAAGTAATAGCTTAGAACCTGCACTGGGGAGCTTTTAAAGACACTGTATTCCCCTTTGATATTTGGATTGTGGGAGAATGAACCCCTCCATTTTTGAGAAAGTAGGTTTTGGTGTAAGGCAGGAGTTGTGAGATCAAACAAAGAAGCTTTGTCAGTGCCAAAACACAAATGTGCTATCGTCTTGTTTGGTTATATATTTTGGTTCCAGGAGTAGCACTTTACACTTTTCATCATCAAAAATTTCATTTTTACGCGTACTGAAATATTTATGGATGCAATGCTATGACGTCTGGGATGTGCTTCAACATAATACAGGGCTGATGGGCACAGGTGATAAATGAAGCAAGATTCATCATGCATTGATAACGCTAAAGCCCAGTAATGGACACATGGAGCTGCCTTGTCCTATCTGTTTTGTGTGTGTTTGAATTTTTCTTTAATAAAAAGTTACAGAAACCTCATCCTTATAGATTCGGCCCATTGTTTTTGACTGGCACTTTTATGTTCTCATTTTATGAAGCTCTCTTATTCCCTCTCCATGAGGTCCACAAGGACAGATACTTATCCCCATTTTACTGATAACCCTCTCTGATCCTGTTAAGGGACTTATCCAAAGGTAAGTATCTGTTTAGCTGCAGATTTAGGACTAGAACTCCCATGTTATTTTGACTACTGGACCAGTACATTCTACCACCTAATCGAGGGAGCTTGTAAGTTTCCATTAAGAGGTGTTAAAATTCAGAGTAATTCTCTCGGGCCTTTGATCTTAGAAACAGTGATCTTCATTTGATTGCAGGTCCACCAAAGGGACATTGCCTTTGCACATGCTATTCCTTCTGCATGGAATGTTCATCCCCATCCCCTAGTTCATCAGTTTAACGCCAATACATCCCTCAAACCTCAACTTAGTCTTCCCCGCCCCCCCCACACATACTCTGTGCCATCCCATCAATCATTCTGGACATCATGTACAACTCGTGCATGCCTGAAACCATTGGTAGAGGCATTCAGCAAATGAAAAAAACACGGGGGACTAAATAAATACTCTGGATTTAGCCAGTTCATGCATCTGAGGAGTATTTGTGACGTGGTATGAAATTTTGGTGTCGTTTTCTTTTGGGAAACTAAGTCCTGTCCCCTGGGGGTCTTCACTCAAGTATCAGGGTGATTGTCAAGCAAGGTAGAAAGTATTCTAAAACTAAATCACGCATTTTTTTTTTTTAAGATTTTGTTTATTTATTTGACAGAGACACAGTGAGAGAGGAAACACAAGCAGGGGGAGTGAGAGAGGGAGAAGCAGGCTTCCCGCGGAGCAGGGAGCCTGATGCAGGGCTCGATCCCAGGACCCTGGAACCACGACCTGAGCAGAAGGCAGACGCTTAATGACTGAGCCACCCAGGCACCATCTAAACCACACACTTTTTTCCTCCCATAAAAACCTCCCTGCAGGAGAAGAGGGAGATGAAGAAGGTGGGAAGCAGCAGGTGTTTTTTTTTGTTTTGTTTTGTTTTTTTGCAACTGTGTAACTCATATAGCCTCACAGTAGGGGAGGCCCACCGCAAGGGGAGATGAAGTGCTCACACAGATGATCAGATCGGTTATAATACCAGCTAATAGCTACAAAGCTCATACAAGGCAATCTCAGTCACTTTTGAAGGAACACTGTTTTTCTCTCCCTATAAATGACTGTTCATTAAGAACTGGGCACAATATACTTCTGAAAGAAATGCTTCACAGAGCTTTGTAAGGTGTGGTTGAGGGCGCCTGCGTGGCTCAGTTGGTTAAGCATCTGCCTTCCGCTCAGGTCGTGATCCCAGGCTCCTGGGATCTAGCCCCACATCGGCTGCCCTGCTCCGCGGGCAGCCTGCTTCTCCCTCTCCCCACCGCCCCTCTCTCTCAAATAAATAAATAAATAAAATCTTAAAAAAAAGCTGTGGTTGACTTAATGCCATCTTCGTCCTGAAAAAGAGGAGTGGGCTTTCATACCTCGTGTGAGTTTCCAACACACTCATCATACATATGGAGGGAATGTAGGCCGACTTTATCATAACAAATCAAACTTAAGAGTTTAATGAAGTCTATCTCCTCTTCCCATCCATTTTGCAACACCCATCCAGCCAATTTCACTGTAAAAAGTGTCATTTCAAAGCCCGTGGGGGGCTCTTACCCTCCCCAGTCAGGGTGGGACCCAGTGGTAAACGGGAGGTGCAGGGAGGGCAGTGTAAAGGCGGCTTTAACATTTTCGGTGAAAAAAAGCCAACTTGTTTGCGGTTTTGATTTGCTTTTAATAACAAGCTCCTTCAACCAAAACTGATGAATTGGCATAAGAACAAGGGTACAAAAGAAACATCAAGGGGGCCTTCCAAATTGCTAACTAAAGGATGAATTCTCTGCTTTGGGTGGCCATCATTTTATCCCTCGGAAACAGGAGATAAAAAGATGCAAAGCTTTTAATATATGCTGCCTGAATATAGAAAGGAACCAATTAGAGCATGTGGCCTGTGGTGTTGTCTTAATACTTTATAATCACATTCCATACTTTAAGCAAATGCAAATTGTCTTGCGCGCTGCCCTTGAAAGGCAATTTCACTGCATACTAAATTTGAAGTAATCACCGATACAGTGTAAATAAAGCCTCTGTTGGGTAAACACCAAAGCATTTTCCACGCGGCACTGCATTTTAAAATAGCTAACTTTATTGTCAGTGAAAAGATAGGCACAAAGTGGATTCAAACCTGCTTAACTTTATTGGAACTAGCTCAGTCGATTACAGAATGGGGTCTCAATCATTACGGAGCCACATACATTCCAAACAGAAGGTGCTTCTTCTCTAGCCATCTGCCAACGCCAGCTATCCATTTTATAAACACATGCCATTAATCACAAGGGAGGCCAGAAGGAGGTTTGATGATTCCATGTAACCCATCGTTGCTACTGGGAAAAAATAAACAAACTCCCACCACTTGTCCTACTGATGATGACTGACACTTGGGAGATCTCTTTCCAAGGATCATGGCGGGCTGAAATGGATGGCAATTAGCCCATAGCTGATGCCTTCCTTTGAAAATATGTTCAGGAAGAATGCACACATTTGAAGTAACCCATTCCATATGTGAAATGAGCAATTGAGATAACAGGAGATTGTATGGCTAACAGACATGAAAATATCATCTATAAAAGTTAGTCCATATGTATGCACTTTAAGCTGCCGCATTATGAGTGTTTAGGCTGTTCATAAAAAGTAGTCTGCACAGTCAGTTTGTTCGTTTTCCAACTGTTGTACCCACCCAACTGCGTAACAAGAGAACACTTGGTGTTTCCTACGGCAGATGATGGCAGATATTTCAGGTTCCTGCTATCCTGTCATCCTGAAACTCGAAAGCAGCATGGAAAATAAATCCTTCATTGAAACAACAATCCAGATACATGATTTTAAAAGAATATTCAAGCTACTTTTATTTAATAAAAAATCATTAATAGGAGTTTTATATCAAGTAAAGTTCATTCTAATGAAGTTTTTCTGTACATGGGACATTGGGGTACAACTGACTTAAAAGGTCCCCAGAGACCACCAGGCAGTACACGTTTAAGACAACAAGGTCACCCTCCTGTCCTGAGGTGCCGGTAAAATGCATAGATAAGTGGGAGTCCAGAAAGATCCCCCAAATGTTTCATATCCACACAACTGTGGAAAGGTGACTAACTTGACGTTCCTCCCATAAACCTGAAATTTTAAAAGGACACCTAGTAGAGATTTTCTGAAAAGGCTGAATCTACCTTCTTCGTAAACATAATACACTGACATGGACTTCTTCCATCCCTTAGATGTACGATGTTACTTTAGCAAATTACCTGGGAGTAAAAACTGAGCCAAAAAGGACTGCCTCTGGTGTGAGGGGGCAGAGATGCGGCAGAAAGTTCAAGGTAGCACTCAGCCAAGAACTTCCTCCTTTCCCAAAAATACATGAGTCTAAAGAGATGGCTGCCACACAGTGTGGAATGTATGACATTTGTCACCTTACAGAATGTGATTAAAATCATGGCTCCCAGAGCTAGCAAAAATTCTGGCAATGTGTTATAACCACAAAAGGAGTAGATGAAAGGTTTCAATTTATTTGGATTTATTTATTTGGCTAGAAAGCAGCAGTCCCGAAGTTCGCTACTTGTGGCTTCTACTAGTTCAGGACTTTCCCCCTTATGACTAAAGGGTAGTATGAACGAGGATGAACACAACTGCGCTTTTAACTTCTATTTGGGATTCACTTGATGACCGAAGACTAATGCGTAGGATGATCACTTCATTACTGAAATGGCAAGACTGGCTGAAAATCACATCACTCTCCCTCTTGTCTCTCCCTCTGCCCCACCGAATGATCCCTCTGGAAGAGAATTAGGAATGGCGCAAAAACACTGTTAAATAGGCCGCCATTCCTGTGGTCACAGAGGAACCCTGTAAGATGATCTGAGGCAGCCAATCCCATAGCAACAGAAGAAGAGAGGTCGATTTCTTCGGGGGGAGTTTCATGTGACTCAGTGTTGAAATGAGGACCAGGACAGGGAAGACCTTGCAAAAGGCACTGCAGGAGAGGCAAGGTAGGAAATCAGAACCCTGGACAAACTATTACTCAAGCCAGGGACGTTTTACAAAATCCGTATGCCCTGGTCCGTGAAGATGCCTTTCCTTAAAATGAGGCTTGCTGTAGATAAGGGTTTCCTGAAAGAAGCATGGTAATTCGGCAAAATGGAAAGCTGTGTTGTGTGATCTTGAAAAAGTCCCGTAACCTCTCCGGGTCTCAGATGCCTCATCACTCAACTGAGGGGGTAGTTCTCTACTGCTACAGCTCCTTCCAGCCACTATGCCTCACAACGTAATATAGCAGGCCTACTCTTCTATTAATCTGGTTTCTAACTAACACATCCCCGAACTTCTACCCCCCACCCTTACCTAACACCCCCCCCACTCCCCTCACCCTCCCATACCCCTGAAACCTGATCTTAATGACATTGTCTGCGGATCTGTCACCTTAATGAAGGGCAGAGAGGTGACACAGAGCAGGGACCCGTGGCAAAAAGCAGTCCTTTTGTGTCCCTGGAGGCAGCCCCATGGCAAAGCTTGGAGCCCTGGCCTCCTTGGTCCCTGTCCACATGTGCATTTCCTGCTGCTCTCCAAAGGTATTCCGAGATGGAGTCACTGGCAGCGAGAAGGGGTAACTAAGGGTACACCTGCAGCGCCCCTCTCCCCGCCGGCTGCAGCATAGTACTTTGGGCTTCTGATGCTATTCCCTTGGAGGTGATAGTCAACGATGCCTTTTAAGACGTATGCTAAGAATTGGGGAAAACAAAAGGAGTTACTTCCAAGTAGTCACCAGAAAGTCAAAGCATTCGGCCCGTCACCGAAAATGCTTCCTCGTTTTGCCAACGATTGGAAATTTGAGACTGGTGACACAGCCAGTGAGTTTGTGCTGGAGAAGAAATAAACACTAAGCAGATTGGTCTCAGGAAAGGCAAGCGAGCTGTGTTCGTGGCCACACACAGCACCTCATGCAACTCTCCGTCAAGGCCTCTGATGGTCTAACTCCCTAAGAAAGAGGAAGTTGTCCATCACACAGCTAATTTACTCTCCTAGCATCTGAAAGCAATATATTAATTATCCAAATGCATAAATTACTCCAGAGTATATATATGAATGTATGAACCTCCACAAGGGAACCAAAAGAATCCACTTCCAAAGCACCACTGAAATGAAGATAAACACAATCTCCTGGCACAGGGCAGCTGGGAAATTGGGAAGGAAAATTAGCTCCAGCACCCTTCCACACCCCAATATTCCCTGCCTTTTCTCCAGCTTACACAGCTCCCAAAACTATTCCCTTTTGTGAGCCCGAGACGAGAGCTCTCTCTCTCTGGATGCTTGTCTAGATGGTAAGTATACAAAACAGCACACGTGCAAATTCTCTCCGACTTCCCACTTCTGAACTACATGTTACACACTGTCTTCCAAACGTACTGTGCTCTTCAATCAAAATGATCTGGAATATGGAAATGCGAAATAAAATTACGCATGTTGAAAACATTCACGTATATCCAGCTATCAACAGTCCAAGGATTTGTATAAATCCACACAATAACTTTAGAGCACATTCTGATTAATCGGTCTTTAGAGGTACTCTCTAAGTGTGTACCAGAGTAGACTGGAGTTTGTATGGTATTACTTAAGTACTACATCGTTTCAATAAAAAGTCCCTTTAAAAAACATCCCCCCCAACCCTTGTCCTCACCCTCAAAATAAGAACAAACAAAAGGGAAAAATGATTAAAAGCACTCTCGCTGATAAACTGCAGCTCTCGAACACGCCGTTTAGATGAGATATTCCACCATCTCCGCATCAGGCTCTTGTCCCAGGATCTGAATGGGAGCTTTTCTTTCCAGAGTATTGGAGTGGAAAACAGGGCCATCTAAATGGAAACAGGGGGTTAGAAAGCACTCAGGCACAAGGTAAAGACGCAGATTCCTAGAAATCGACAGCTTGGGAGCCATGAAGCGGATGGCGGATGGAGACTTGCCCGCCTGCCACCCCCTCCCCTTGTTCACCTGAGCATTTACTTCTGCTGGAAGAATGGCCTTGGCTCAACCCTGTTCCCATCCTGGTGTCCCAAGGAGCCATTGACAGACTCTGTCTGCCCTTGTGTCTAGTGATGGCTCCCCTTTAGCACACGACCAGCTCTGGCCAAATGACCAACAGTGTCTACGCAGCAGGGTGCCAACAAACAACCTGTAATTGAGGGCAGAGCCCAAAGCTGCCCCGGCATGGAGAATCATTACCTGTCTTATCCGGACTGCAGGTCAAACTTGGTACAGACAAACGACGCGACCCAGAACCGGCAGCTGGACTTGCAGAAGCCTCAGCCGGAGCCACAGCCGGAGCCGGAGCTGGAGCTGGAGCTGGAGGAGCAGCGGCAGCCGGAGCTGGACTTGGCGCTTGAGTCTGAGCCGGATCAGAAGCCTGAGACGCTGTCGGAGCCGGAGCCGGAGCCGGAGCCGGAGCAGCTGGAGCAACCTGAACAGCCGCGGCGGGAGCAACAGCAGCAGCCGCCGCCGCGGCAACCGCAGAGGCCGCGGCTGGAAGCTGAGCAGCGGCGGCTGGAGAAATGGCAGCAGCGAGAGCAGCAGCAGCAGCAGCAGTTGCCGGAGATGGGGCGGCGGCGGCGGCGGCGGCGGCTGGAGCGGCGGCTCCCATGGTGGTGCTGTTGGGGGCAGCGGCAGCGCTGTTGGCGGCGGCGTTGGCAGTGATGGCGGCGGCAGCGGCCGGCGCGGGAACCGACACTGGAGCGACAGCTGCGGTTTTGCTCGGTTCGGTTCCCCGTTCCGTTTGGGTGCTGCAGTCTCGGCTGCCTGTCTTGGAGTGAGCCGAGAGCAGGGGAGTGGACGGCGGCACCGGCGACGGTGTGGAAGGGACAGACTCAGCGCGGTAGTCTCCACCCAGGAGAATACCTAGGAGGCAAAGAGGGAAAAGAGGTGAGAGAGGTTCAGGCTCTTCAAACGCAGACCTCTGGTTGCCTCTTCTTCCTTGCAGGAGGTTCAGGAGAAACTTCCCCTGTGCCTCCAGAGAGCCCAGGAATCGGCTGGGCAGGCACCGTCCCTCCTGGTCCTCGTTCTCTACCCGAGCACAAGCTATGAAACCTTGAAGTGTCCTGCGAATCTGTTGTGACTCCTTTTTCCGATGGCGACTGACCTCCAAGGAGCTTTCAGAATGCTTCTACTTGGTTCCACTTATTGCCAACATCATCCGCTACCGGATGGCTGGAAAGGATTGGGGGAAGAAGTCTGTGGTCACGGATGAGTGTCATGGTAATCGTGCAACCTAAGGTTCTAATCAGGACCGTGATCCCCAGAATACCTCCTCTACCCAAAAGGACGCTGCAAGTCAGAGGGCCAAGAAAGGTATTCGAAGCAACGAAAAGACCTAAAATTAAAATACAAAGGGGGCTCTCGCAGGCTCTAAAAATGCGCCTCGTGATATCCACGATATTTCTGGGCTTTTGATCCGAGGGGAAGGAATGGACGGGAATGGAATGAAAAAGTACACTCAGTTCTCATCTCAGAACATTCTGGTAACAAAACCCTGCCACCCAGCTCCATTCAGCTCAACTAGAACTCTGAGTCCTCCTATTCTATGGGGGCAAAGAACAGAGAAAAATCTGGAAGTCTGACATTTTGACTGACGTGGAGGTCACGTGGGCTCTGGACAAAGACAAAAGGTCTCACATGGCAAGGCCAGATCTGAGAATTTTTTTTAAAGGAAACTGAAGTTGTCTTCCTTCCCACCCAAACAGAACTCAGAATTCTTATCTTCTGAGGCCTTGGCTTCAACCAGTGTTCTCTCAGTGAGACGTCAAGAGTGTAGAGGAGCTCCTCTCAGGAGGACAGAAACCCAACCTGGTATATCATCCTCTCTCTAGATTCCGGACCCTCACTCCTTTTCCTTGCCGAGTGGGCACATATCTAAGTCGGGGCTCCCTTTAAACACGTCACTCGCATCTTCTTTATTTACTGTCATTACCTAGGCTCCCCTTCCAATTCTTGTCATCCCGCTTCTCCTCCATGATGGGGGTGCCGGTCAGGGCAGAAGAATGTGAGAGCAAGCCTGACCCGGCGTTGGAAATGGACATCAGAGACTTTGCAGGTCGCATGGATGACAGCTGCTCTGTCTTACTCGGCTCCTTCCGGGAACGCTGCTGGAGTACTTTGATCATGGCATCCTTCTCAATGATCTGGGCATGGAGGGTCTTAATCCTAGGAGCCAAAGACAGAGAACGTATAAAAACGTTGTCGCCACCTCCATGTTCTGGTCTCACGGCCTGCTTGGACTTGAGCTTCCAGTATCTTTTCGACTGAGGAGTGGTTTACTTATTTCTGGGGCGTAAAGCAAGGGGCGGTGTGCTACGTTTCTTAAAATGCCTTTCTCCACGCCCAGATGAGTAGAGCAGAGCATCCAGGAGTTGTTGCTTAAACCTCAGGAGGCCAAAGTAAGGTCATGGTGGAAAAGAAGGCTGCAGATGAGAGAGTAGACTGATGTAGTGGGTGCCGAAGTGAGGAATCAGAGTCATTGGAACGATGTATTTAGTGAGAAGATGAGAACTACGAATGGGCCACAACTGCAGCTAATAAGTAAATGATCATGAGTTTATAAGAGGTATCAGGGGCCCTACGTCCAAGTTGGAATGGATATTCTCTTACTGTGCACTCTGCTGTATCACAGGGTTGAAGTCCAATGCTAGAAAGAATACCCCAGAGTGCAAATGCCAGCAATACAGTTCTGGCAGAGGGAAGATGGAAAGCAATTACCAAGGCCAATGGGGAAAGCAAGGTAAAGGTCATTGCATTTCAAATCCCAAGTAACAGGCTGGCAGGGGTGCAGGGGTCGGGGGAAGCTGCATTATCGGGTTTCCCGGTTGTGAATGAAGATGCCGCCTGCCCTTCCCTTCTGACCTATCTGGTCTCGATACCTTCTTCTCAGATCTACCAGGGTCCAGATCGGTATTTTACCTGCCCTCCATGTCAAGGCAGCGCTTGTTGGCCATCAAGATTTCTTCCTCCTCTTTCTGGATGCGAGCTTCCAGGGCCGTGTCATAGCTGGTGTTGGGAGAGTGGCTGATTACTGTTGTGTCCCTGGAAGGAAGATGGCAGTGATGATGATGACAAGGCAGCAAAACCAACGAGTCCTATCGTCTCCCTCCCAAGTCAAAGGTATTGCTGGAAGACAGTCAAACTCATTAGGAATGGTTGGTTTCTGGACGACTTATTGAAAAGAGCCTCCAAGGGGCGCCTGGGTGGCTCAGTCGTTAGGTGTCTGCCTTCGGCTCGGGTCATAATCCCAGGGTCCTGGGATTGAGCCCTGCATTGGGCTCCCTGCTTAGCGGGGAGAGTCTGCTTCTCCCTCTCCCCCTGCTTGTGTTCCCTCTCTGGCAATATCTCTCTCTATCAAATAAATAAATAAAATCTTTAAAAAAAAAAAAGAACCTCCAAGATAGGAAGGTGCAGCTTTCAGAGCTAGAAGAGGTTTTTGGCATGAGTACAGTTGCAAAAGTCAACGAGGGATTCTACGAGAGGTGCACAGGCTTGCCTTCAGGACTAGACAGATGGCCTCCCAAAGCCTTCTGGCAGAGTCCCTTCGAGGTTTTAGATCATGGCCAGGTAATAGGAAGATATTTATATTTCCACTTTATATTATTATTTATATTACACATAAGATAGTATCGATTTCCACTTTATTCTCATGACAGTTATAAACGGGAAAAGGCTAGACTTTGCTGAAAGACAGAGAATGTACTACTAGACAGCTCTTGTTATAGATGTAGAACAACTACACTGACTGCTAGACACAAACTATAGACACGTCAACAGCGAAGGTCAGATAGAGCACGTGAGCTGAGTGAGAAGCAGGGCCTTTGAATCAGTGCCACTTCATTCCTATCTGACCTACATCAGAAACATTCTAGTGCCAAATCGAAAAGTCTCTTCCCCAACTACACGACTGTTCTCTTGCCAGAGTCCCAACTGCACGAGGCACCATCCTGTTTCATTTGAAAGTGTCTCAGGCCATTAACTCAAAGACTAATTAATAAGTAGTAAAGTGTGTGTGTGTGTGTGTGTGTGTGTGTGTGAGAGAGAGAGAGAGAGAAGGAGAAGGAGAGGAGGAGGAGGACGTGGTGCTGGGGAGAGGGTCTAGCCCATGGGTGGCTGATGTCTAAACAGCACAAGTCAAAGATATATGGGAATCCTATATCGTCCTGATAAATGAGGTCATGCATCTTTCTTTAGTTTATTTAGAACTAGCGGTAGAAAAAAGAGGGAAAGGAATGAAGAAAACTGGATCTTCCTTGAATCACTTGGAGGGAAAAAAAAGGGATTAGGAAGAATATTGATGTAATTATATGGGTCTTCAAGGAAAGCCAACAATAGACCAAGAAAACAATGAACTGGCACAGCTTCATTATACTTCCTTTGAGAACGAGGATCTGTGGGAGAATTTTCTGCTGGCAGCTAGCTGTGTTCTCTTAGCTTAGAGATTGTGACCAGTGCAGATGGGAAGGAAAGGGCAGGGGAATGAAGAGGCAGAGAATTGGTATTAAAGTTAGGGAAATCGGGTGAGTTTTTACAAAACTACTGTTTCCCCAAATGCTTGCACTTTTATATGCAAGGCTGAAACAATGTATTTGAGTGGTGAAATAATTGGGAGAGCAAGAAGGACGAGGACTGCAGTGGCTCTCATCAGTTGCTGAATTCGAAATATTTTAGCATCTCAGAATTCCACACTTGACTCTGGTGAGTTCACCTGCTTCCGGTCCTACGAGGAATGGCTCTTGTGTTCCAAGGTACCCAAGGGGAAATGGCATTGTGTAATGTCTGACTATAGACCACACCAGGGTCAAATCCCACTTTCCTAAGTACTCTGCCACTAACAAATGCTATGAGCTCAGGAAATCAGTTAACTCCTCTAAAGCTCAGTCTCCTCATATGCAAGATAGAAATCATCATCATAACCTTTATCTCATGGCATTCTGGGGGGATGATGTCAAAGTATGCACGTAAAAGACACAGTGCCAGGCACTGGCACTGTAAAAACACTCAACAAATTTACCTGTTATTTAAGAAAGAAAAGTACCTAGGTAGAAGGAGGGTAATAAACAAGAGAGGATGACTTTAGAGAATTCCAGCTCAGGGATTCTATCGTGGAGCCAATTCCTGCAGTGCACAGTTCCAAGGGGATGGCTGCTTCAGAGCCAGGCCTCTCTAAAGAGTGGGTGTCTAGGGACACTGGGGACACGAGCATACGGTTTGTCACTGGGGGGAGCCGGGCCACTTTCGTTGCATAAAAGATCATTTCGGGGACTCAGAGCCCTGCCAGCTAATTGATACGGACACTGTGAGCTCCTAAGGAATGGAGACTGAAAATGTGGGGTGCTTAGTGAATTCCTACAGAGCTGCCAGGACGGCCTTCAACATCAATCTTCCTTCTAGAAGACTGGGGCTACTAAGCCAATGGCTCAGGCAAAAGCAAGCAAGCACAGTGTTGGAAGGAGCAACCTGACCTAACTTCCAATATTCCGAGATGACCCTTAGGCACATCTGGAGTGAGCTGCTGACTTGAAAACACCACCTGTGTACTCCAAAATGTAGATCCCTGAATTTGACATCCTACATCTAAATTCTTAAGTAAAGGAGTTTCTGGCGACTCTCCCCCTCTGGTCATCTCTCTCCTTCCTTTGTCCGATGAAGTTATCCCCATCACACTGCTTACACTGCTTTCTCGAATGTCACCCCTGATTTCCTCATTAAAACATCTAGTGTTTTAAACTTTTAAACTTCAAATCCATGTTTTCCTATCGGTAGCATCTGTTTGTTTATTTAATATGTGAACTCGACCGTGAGTGGAGCACTTGTGTTTGAAGTTACTGCGATGCTAAAAAGTGGCTAGACATGCATAAGACTAGTCCCTGATGGCAGGAGACTTGCAAGGCGAGGCACACACACAAAAAGAAAAGACAGGTAAATAATTAATTATTACAGAAGCAAGTCTGAATTTTATTCCAATAGGCACTGAAAATCATTAGAGCTTTTTGAAGGGAGTGAAATGATCCAAGCTGTGCTTTAGAAAGACAGCATTATCTCTGGCCAAAATACGATGGACTTGGGCAAAGCAGTCAGAATGGTTATTGTAACAATCCCAGCCAGAGATACTGAAATCATGAACCAATGCAACAGCAAGGGGAATGGAACAGGCCATAGGAGGCAATTTGGAGACTGTTTAAATGTGGCTGTTGGAGAGAGGGAAGAATGCATGAGAACTTTGTTGTTTCTAAGTCAAATGACTAGAAAAGATGGCACACCACTCATTTTCTGTGCTAGGAAAGTAAGGAGAGATCTTTGGGAAAGCATTATAATGGGTCTTCATTTTAGTTACATCAGAGTTAACATGTCTTATGAATAGACATATGACAATATCCAAGTTGTTGACAAGTCTAACTTTAATCTAAGGGATGTCAGACTTACTATTTGAAGCTGTAACAGAGAACAAGATAACTAAGACAGAAGGTAGAACGAAGGGACAGCTGAGGACGGAAACTGAGGAAAGCCTACCAAGAAGGAACAGGTAGGCATGTATAATGTGTGTGAGCAGCTTCTAACTTCTGCTTTCCCCTTCCTTCCTTCTTTCCCAGATTTACATCACCCAAAATAAAAACAAAACACTGCACGTTTGAAGAAGGTTAACAACCTACTTCAGGAAATGCAAACTTGTAAATGGCATGGCTGATCGGGTTTGTTACCTTTTTATATCCTTTTGCTGCTATTCAGAAATATATTCACCATTTGTGAACTTCAATCTGCATTGACAAATCCGTTCTTCTAGGATGAACTACTCGGTAATAATTTCCCTCATCTATATTAAGCATCTAGAGAATCTCTAGGAGCACAACAACATGGAGTTATAATCTGGGCCATATTATTGTAATTATTTATAGCATTTTTTAAAAAAATTTACTTATTTATTTGAGAGAGAGAGAAAGCATGAGAGAGGGGAGGGTCAGAGGGAGAAGCAGACTCCCCGCGGAGCAGGAAGCCCGATGTGGGACTCGATCCTGGGACTCCAGGATCATGACCTGAGCTGAAGGCAATGGCTTAACCAACTGAGCCACCTAGGCGCCCCTATTTATAGTATTTTTAAGAGACTAAATAATAAGCCTCAAATAGTACCTCTTGAACAGTTCATAATCCCTATTACACCATCTTGAAATCATCATATCTGGGGCGCCTGGGTGGCTCAGATGTTAAGCGTCTGCCTTCGGCTCAGGTCATGGTCCCGGAGTCCTGGGATCGAGCCCCGTATTGGGCTCCTTGCTCGCTGGGAAG